AAATTCTCGAAAGTATGCTGTGTTGATGCGTCGATGTGTCGTGTATCGATGCGCGGTTCACTATAAATACAATCAAAGAGAGTCTTAGAATCAATCTGTGTGATCTAATACAAACTACAAACTATAATAGACTTACCGAATGTGTCCCTATCGAATCCAAAAGAAAAACTCAATAACAATCTCCCATATTCCTCTTAATAACTAAATTTCATAACTAAAGTTCACGTGCTGTGTTAACTATCTTAGTTCTATCGCAATAGTACCCAGTGTCTCTCGGACAACTCTTCTGGGCCTGGTGACCTGTCGCGTACATAGACCTCATTAGATATGGATAAATTCTAAGGTTTTTACAGTCTCAAATGTACAAAATTTAGTTTGTATATCACTTGCATACTTGTTCAGCAACTTTATAAAGTTACTTGACTGGATTAAAAAAAAGTACAGTGTATGCCTCAAAAGTTACATTGTGTAATGTCATTACGACATTTTTTCTGTTGCACATTTTAAGGGAGAAAATCCATAACATTTCAAAATCACTAAAAAAAACCATCTACTCTTAGTGATCTTAATATTAATAATAACATAAGTAATATGATATTGTGGTAACTATTAATTTTAATCTCAATTGGTGTATATAAATACAGTATGGCATTGACCTTTGAATGCTAAAATGTTGCACAATTTTAAACAAAGTGTTACCTATTATAACTGAATTAAAAATGAATCCTGCAAAGCTTGTCATCTCTTAAAATCCTCTACACCATGCAAAATAAGCCATTCTAAGTTATTATGTCAAAAAATATGTACACTGGCTTTACATCAGATTTACAAGGGCTCCTAAGTTTACAATAGAATTTGCTATCATGTGCTAGTCTATCATGTACAATCTCAGATTTTAAGAGGTCTAGAATCCTTATGTGTATAATGCAGTTCAATTACTAGCTTTTGATCTATAGAACCATGAGATTACTACAAGCATGTTGTGTCTGATACTTTAACATGTTTTTCTTGGATAAACATATTCTTATTCAAATGTGAGAGCCTGAGAATCATTCAAGGTGAGTTGTTCTGTAGCTCCTGTCATCTCATTTATGTCTGATGGCTTCTTTAGCTCATTTGATAACTGGTTGTCCTTAGCAAGTTGATGGAAGTGCTGCAATGAAAAAGATATATCAGATATACCGTAGAAGCCTCTAAGTTATAAGCCTCCATGATTATAAGTCCACCCGCCTGCAAACAGAAATTTACTTTTAGCTAAAAGCTCGGTCATAAGCCTCCCTGGTTTTACAGCCATTCACAAGGCGTTTCCATAAGTTGTTGGAAAAAACAAAGCTATAAGGGCACGTGCCTATAGAATGTAATGGAAACACATTGATTGACGTCCACCAAAAGCTTCTTCATCGCAACAGAAACGATCGCTAGAACGGCTTGTGTGATTGAGAATGGCTGTAAGCCCACCCAAAAAAATCCTTACAAAATTGTATGAGCCCAGGGATCATGACTGAGATTCTAGGACGACGAAGAGTATTAATGATGCTTCAAGAGAAAAAGATAACCTCCTTCGGACAGTTTGAATAAATTGTAGAAATCTTTATTTATCTGAATTTTACCTGAGAATTCTTGAACTCTGAAAACAGTGTGAAGAGGACATGCAGTGAATGGATTCTGTTTTTGTGTACTGGAATATCAAGGATGCCTGAGGGCCACAAAAAATACAACCATTACTTCTACAGTATTAATGATAGATGATTAATATTACAGGTTATCAGTTTCAATTTTTTAATGCAATCTCGGCAGCTTAGAGCTTTACTCTGAAATGTGTTTTTTTTCTTCTGTCAACCAGTTCAGAGTTAGAGTAATATTGGAAATTGCTGTAAAATGTCATAAGTGTAAGATGAGTTGAAATATCGATGTTGGTGTTGGTGCTTACCACATATGAGGTCAACATACTGAGCAAGATCAACATCTAGCTCAGCAGATGGAAGTCCTACTGTGTTTAACAGATCTTCAAATTGTGATGGCCATTCCTGCATAAGATCTTCAATGTCAGGCATATTTCTACAAAAAAAACACAACAGTTTTTGAATATAAATGATGAGGATGATTATAAATATGGTACAGTATTCTGATAATGATGATGAGCTGAAGCTGACAAAGGTGGTAGTGATAATGATAATGATCTGATAATGATAATGGTGGCTGTGGTAAAGCTGTAGTACTGCTAATGATAATGATGATGATGGTGGTGTAAATGTTGCTCATAACGATGGATGGTGATCAAGATGATGATGATGACAATGGTGGTGGCTGTGATAGTGCTGCTGCTGATAATGATGATGATGTTGGTGGTGTTAATGTTGCTGATAATGATGAATGGTGATAAAAATGATGTTGATGATGATGATGGTGGTGGTAATTACAGATGATGATGGTGAATGAAGGAATGGCAATGATGATGGTGATGCTACTAACTACTACCACTGATGGTGATGACGACAATAATTGTTAATTGAGACTAGAAGAAATGCAAGTGGATTTTTACCTTTGATAATGAACTGTTGGAGCAGGTTTTTGTCGATGTAGTTCCCTAAAACACAGGATATTTTAGACATTATCACAATCTAATAGATAGACATCAGGCTTAGAATCTTTGAATGAGACACCCCTACGTTTACCTGATGCTGTCAATCCAGGTATCAATTGCTTTGGGATTCTTCTCCACGTCATCTATACTCCTCACAGTCTGTTAATACACATTCAACAATGGATTAATAATTGTGTGGTTATTTTCAAGTACACTCCCATGACAGTCCTAAATCCCTAGTAATAATGAGTACAGTTTATTATCAATACACATCACATTACTTACCATAGCTTTGAGATTGGTTTGCTTTGATATTGTCCTCAATTGCAAATCAAGAACTGAAAGCAAGAATGTACCATTAAGAATCAGAAAAATCCATCGATTCAATTTTACTAAATTTGATTTTTTGGCACTTCTGGTGAATACCACCATGATAACCTAGTTTCATTTAAAGATCCCAAAGACAACACTTTCATCTCACCTGTAGGATCAGACTGTCTTGCAGTGGGCTCATCCAGCACTAGAAGACCAAGGGTTTCTGGTTTACCATCAGGACGAGTTACCTGAATCAAATTAACTATCATTGTAAACTTATATAATGTCTTAAAGGCCAATAATTTATGCTATTTGGGCCACGAAAGTAAACACTTTGGCATTCATTTAGAATAAAAATCTGATGAACATTTCTCTATTTTTTCATGAAATAGGTCACTCGTGGTATACCATGAAATATCCCATGTGGCACTTGTATTTTCTAGAATGAACCCAAGCCTTCAGGCCTATCCGGGATATTTTATGGTATATGTCTGTCAAAACCATCATATAATGAACCTCTAATAAACTATTTCATTTGACACTATCGAAAATATACCTGCACTGCAATATGAACAAGGAGTACTGCCAAATAAAACAATAGCTAAAATAAGGTAGCAATTCTATACAGGGAAAGTATTGATTACCTTAATGAAAGCATCAATATCTCCAACAGCAGGGATGAAGTCAGGTATGAACGGCTTTAATTTATGCTCTAGGTCAATAGTCTGGGGTGTATAGCGAGTGATATACTGAAAGAGTTCCTTGATTTCTTGGCTTACAGGAAGGTGCTCATAGTCTGCTGGATCATACGCACTATAAAAGTATAAGAAACCATCAATACCTTTCACTTTATCTCTTACAGTCCACCTACAGTTGTTCTCAATAGCAGGTACAGAATCGTATCCACTGTACTACATATTTGACAGTTATCAATATACATACATTTGATAATGTTAATAATAATATAATAATGTTAATAATAACCATTCAAGAGGTGCCTTCTCTTACCCCTCAACTGCAGGACCATGGTTGTCATCATCATCATCATCATCATCTGAGCTATCACTCTGATCATCTCCTTCATCATCATCATCGTCATCATCATTGCCTATTCCTTCTGATAAAGGTTTGATCCTTTCTTGGTTCATCTGGGATGGATCGGCACTAATACCACCACCACCAGCTCCGACCCCTCCTCCTGGTTGACCATAGCCAACTGGTCCCTGTCATAAAAAACATTAAGTATCACATCCTTATCTTAGGTAAGAAAGGAATGGCAGCAAAAAAGACTGGAAAGGAAGGGTGGGGAAGGAGGGTAGGATGGGAAATGAATAAATAATGATGATAGATAAACAAACGTTTCTCACCTTTTTGTCAGCTAAGCTATCATGCTCAAATTCATCATCACTTTGGTCAGTCATGGACATTGATAACCTGCCTGATATAGTAAAAAAAGAAAATTATTCTCAAAAGGTCTGTACATACACGCCTTTCATAACTGGCTGCTGCTGTTTTTGGAGTGAAAACCCTTTTAAATCATTGATCTTGTTGATTTAGATAAGGCGTGTGAGTTTCTACTTAAATTAATAAATCCTTTACAAGATGTGAGCTGAGATGTGATGTGAAGTTTTGAAAATGCACCAAAACGAGGCCACCAAGGCTTCCAGTGATAAATATATGTACAAAACTCTCTATTTTCGTTCTTTCATAACTTCTTTGGTATGCAGTCAAATTCTACAAAATTTTCTGGAAATAGCTTTCATGAAGTATTTTCTCAGGTAGCATTAATAGTTTCTGGTAAAAAGCCTTCATTTTCTCTATCTGAAAAAACTGAGTTATGAAAGTCGTCTATGGGTTAAACTTTTGTCTAGTTTTACTAACAGCCTTAGCTTTGAATTACATTTTAAAAATCATCCATGTTTTACGAGGGTAAAACTTAGTAGCAAGTGCATGGCTAACAAATGTGTGTGGCCTTCATTCCAGGATCGCATTGGAATTTATAATAAGTTGATAAATGAGTGGGGAATGTGGAGAAAATGCAGGGCTATAAAGTGAGTTTTCAAAATTCAGAGATATACTACATCATAAGCACTGGGGGTAGGGGAGGGGAGGGTTTTTTTAAAGATCTTACCAGGAGCATTAGGCCGGCTCCCTCCTGGCCTTGGGCTTGGTGTAAAAGTGCTTGCTACTTCCTCGTCGTCGTTTACCTCAACAGTTTCATCATAGTGTTGGTTGACTACGAGATTTGACTACAAATTTAAAGCGATAAAAAGGTTATAACATTTATATGGCTTCGTAAAACAACTTTGTACATATAGACTAGTCTCAAAAATATTCAAAAATCTAAACAAAGCCAAAATGAATAAAAGAATAAATTCGAGATATTTTAACTTGTTTTCGATTTCGACAATTTTTTAATTTACGAAAGTTAAAAGCGAAAAAATAAAATAAAAACAACTCCGTATCCAAGGAAATTTTGACAAGACTTCGGTATCATTGAACACAAAATTTGACACCTTTTTTCCGCTTAAATACCCACAAAATTAGCTTAATAAATGCATTTAATATTAAAGTAGAAATCTAGAATATTTGTACTGTTGAGGTAAAGGTAAATAAGAAGTATTTCGGGTTTAAAATACCTTATTTTGCTCATTGTCGGAGTCAGCCATCAAAAGTAAACGAAGTCAAAGAGACGAACGACTGCAAAGGTTGATGGGAGATTGAGGTGAGAAACCGCTGTACAGAATTGAAAAGCGCGCGCTTTTTAAAAAAAATTGCGCGTGCCTTGAACTGGTTAGAACGGTTATAAAATTTTAATTCAAAAAATAGAATGTCCTGTAGGTTCAGTAAATAATACACCTGTCTCAAGAGAATATGCTGATGAGAATTGTCACGGATTCAGTTTCTCCAACGAATTATGACCTTATATAGCTGAGATGAGGAGAGAGCAAACAAGTTAAAACGGGTCGTTTATAAATCTAAAATCTAACCACGCAGGGCGAATAAGGTACTACTCTTCAAAGGTCAGCTAAGATTTCTTTAATTAACACATTTTGACAATTTTTTGAGATTTCAAGTAAAGATCGCCGTACATTTTTGATATACCAAGAAGACTTAGCTTGGGCTACCTTTGGGCTACCGGGCAAAGAGCCACGGCCGAGTAAATTTTGCGTCTAAAAATAGGCGAATCATTTACGAAAGCTATTCTATTAAAGATGCTTTATATTCAAAGCTAAAAAAATAACGATTGTTTTCAGTAAATTCTATCTGTTTTTTATAAGCCCACCAGCTATGTCAGGTCCCACCTGCCCAGCTGAATAAAGGAATATCCACATTCGTGTTTTTATACTAGAACGTCACCGAGAGAGATAAAGCCCAAACTGCACATTTCCTTAATATAATCATAAAGAAAGCAAGGCTTTAATAGGACTTTTGAGCAATACAACTTGTGTACGTACCTACGAAATTAAAGCAAGTAAGTTTTACTTTTAAGCATATAAATGATAGAGCGCTCTCTTATTTCGATGAAAACGATGATTTTTATTCAAGTCGTTGTAAATACATCATTTGCGTTTGCTGCTATCCAATGCTGTCTTCTGAGTTAATCGTATTGGAATTAGATTTGATTTTAAAATAATGAATACTGATGTCGCAGTTTGAAACTGTGTTGGCGAGTCAAAGAAACGCCCGCGCAATGGTTGATGGGAGTTACGTCATATTTTCCACGTCACAATCAGTGGCTCATCAGTCGATGCAGTAATCTGAATCGTGTCATTCTGCTGAAATAAATCTTTAAAATTATTCCATTTAAAAACACAGAATTTAGAGGTGAGAAGATCGTGTCCGGATTGCATTACTATGTCTATGAAAATGTCTGCCGTGTTAATCCTTTTGCTGATTGGAAGTTGTTTGTCACGTGATCTTGGAGCAGCACGAGAGAAACGGTTGGACAAAACAAAAGCATCCAAGTCAAAAGGTAACTGGTAACTTGCAAAGATAATATAAACCCTCGCAGAAGTTCATAACTAGAAGTGTCCATCTTCCTATATATGAAACGTCCGATGTGTTTTACGTCTGAGCTGTTTTTAGTAAAATTGACGTCTGCACCGGAAGTGACCAAGCAAGCAGGCCAAACAAACAAAATAGCAGACTCGGGGTTTCCCGTGTGAGAAAAGCTTGGATTTGCTTGAGTGTTATGTTCGATAATAGTGTACACCATAGAAAAGACACTTAGTTTCTTTTTTACCATAACAAAGTCCAAAAAGATGAAAAAAATGTCCGGAAAATGTTTGAAAGAGCAACCGCTTCAAGCGCGCGCTGTTCATACACGCGGGCGCGCGCAATCCTAAACGAATCAGCGCAGCGTATGTCATTTCGATGAATCTGATTGGTCGAGCGTTCCTGCTTGGTCACTTCTAGTGCTGATGTCAAATTTACTAAAAATAACTCAGACGTAAAACACATCGGACGCCACCCCAATACCTGATGGACACTTCTAGTTATGAACTTCTGACCCTCGCCATTATTTTGATGTAAAAAACTAAGTCAAGTTGACATTGCAGTGCATTGTGGGACTGATTTATACGGCGAAATAGACGCCATCTTGGAATAGGCTATTTCACGGATCCTGTTACTCAACCTCAGCCTCGTCAGCGTGTAATATATTCTTTAGAAATTGCCTACAACCTGTGAAATTTTTAAGTGTTTCAATTGTTCGTTGATGTGTAAATTCCTTTCATTACTGCGGACTGTAGTCAAATTCTAAAGAATATATTACACGCTGACGAGGCTGAGGTTGAGTAACGGGATCCGTGAAATGGTCTATTAAGTCCATGAAACAGTCCCACGATGCAATGCAATATTAATCCAACCAAGTTTTCCCCCTGAACCTCGAAATGGCTATTAAAGTTTCAAACCTATTGTATTATTGCTTTATGTCCCTGCAGTTGTCTGTCATTACAATGGCAAGGAATACAAGCCAGGAGAGAAGTTCGATCATGACCTGTGTATCTGCACCGAAACTGGGGGTATCATGTGCGTTTAGACAAGGCTACATCTTGTATTGGTAACTGGAATTTAGTTGCGACAAGAAACCTTTTTTTTTTTTAAAGTTCTAAACAGTCATAAAAAATATTAAAAATAAACTTGCATTGATTTAGAAATGCTTATGTTTGTATCTTTATGATAGCCATGTAAGCCGTTAATTCACTGCGCGCTTCTTTAGAGTGATTATTATTGACCAAACATATTTTCGTTTACTTTTTCTTTATTCTACTTTTCATCTTGTTTTCATTTTTCTATTCATTTTAATTTTTTAACAAGAGCAATGTGAACCCTAAGATTAAGTCAGTTTGAACTAGGGTTTGCCGGCTTTTTTCGAAATTGCGCAGGAAACTGGTTACTAACGAGTACGACGCGCGCTGAATCATGGGGCTGTTTCAAGGGACTGCTCTTTTCAATGTGGCCTGGTTGCGTAAAGCTTAGCGAATTATCTTAAAAAACAGACCTAAAACCAAAAGTAAATGTGACTCGATTAAAAAAAGAAAAAAAGAAAAAAAAAGAAAGAAAGAAAAACAGAGCGAAAACCAAAAGTAAATGTGACTTGATTAAAAAACTCAAACCTGTAAAACGAAGACAAATTACGTCCCTTAAAGTGCACATGAACCCTTTGACAATACATTCAGTACCGGTTCTGCATAAAGTAAATAGTTGATTGGTAAAATATTTCTTGATTTGAGTGACGCGTCTCTAAG